CAAGCCTTTCAAGGTCTCTGGTGGAAAGAATCTCCAGTCCTTTTGTGCGGAATTTATCTAACATAGTTTATGAAGCAGAATTATAGAATTAGTTCTTTACCCTTGACTTGTCTTTTTGTTTATTTCACACTCAACGACCTTGCTTCAGGCAATATTCAGTATTTGCTGCTATATCTTACATCTTTTCTTTGTCTCTGTGTGTATGTGTGTTTCTTTCTCATTATTATGTTAGATTCTGGAGCTCTCTACCAGCCAGCCAGCCAGAATTCCTACAATTTTTCTAAGCTTCTTGCCAGCACCCAGCATGATGAGGAACAGCAGCAGAAGAGAACATCACGCAGAACATTTAAACCAGTGCCCTTGTTTCCAGAGAGACCAAGTGAACCGGTAAGATGTGAGCTCGAAAGGAAAAGAAAAAAAAAAGAAACATAGTCAGTCCTTAGGTACTGACTTCATGCTTAATCCTTTGCAATAAAGTTACAAGTTTTGTTTTGTTTTCTTTTGTTTTTGATTAGTAAATTAAGCATATCTTTAAGTAATATAGCTTCTCTTGGCCATTAAGAAAGAATTGGTTTTTTGGAGTTTTTTTGTGAGGAAGATCAGCCCTGAGCTAACATCCACGCCAATCCTCCTCTTTTTGCTGAGGAAGACCGGCCCTGAACTAACATCTATAGCCAATCCTCCTTTTTTTTTCCCCCCTTTTTCTCCCTAAAGCCCCAGTAGATAGTTGTATGTCATAGTTGCACATCCTTCTGGTTGCTGTATGTGGGACGCTGCCTCAGCATGGCCGGACAAGCAGTGCAATGGTGCGCACCCGGGATCCGAACCCAGGCCGCCAGTAGCGGAACATGCGCACTTAACCACTAAGCCACAGGGCCGGCCCCAAGAAAGAACTGGTTTTAAATAACATTTTAGATCATTGCTAAAGGATCTCAAAAGGAAATTTAAAAAATCACTGAGACATTGATTAAAGAAAGGTTTAATCAAACTTTTCAGGATCTACCACATTCAAATTGTATTAAGAATCCTACTCATATGCTAGCTGTTCCATGTCAGTATTCACCAATCCTAGATAAATGTGAAATTTTCACTAATGCCAAAGTACTTTAATCATTTTGGTGTGATGATAATTATTCCTGGCTCATAGGAAAAATTCTAAGTGTTTACCAAATTTAACAAAGATTCAAAAAAATTTATTTTCACTCAAAAATAAGTTATTTGACTTTGAGTTACATGGATGTCCTTATCTCATTTTTTTTATTATAAGAAACATACTGAAAAATGAAAATATAAACTCTGTGGATTTATAATACCTGCACATTATTTTACAAAGAATGGTGCCTCAAATTTGGAAGCACATTTGATGACTATGAAAAAAAAATTCTTAATAAATATACTCGGCTGGTCTGCTAGTAAAAGACTACATAATCTATATAGTAGGTAAGGGTACAACATTCCGAAAATCTATAATGTTCAATCCATGCTAATTTTTGTATTTTGAACTTAAAGACTATTAGTAATTAATCATTGCCAAAATACATGACATTGATATGCTGTTTAATCATATGTATAAAATTACTCTAAACAAAAGAATATTTTTTCAAATTATAATGCAGCTACTAAAGCTGTCCTGATAATATTAATTTCATTTATTGCTGATGAAATGCAACATTATATGACAATTGAGAAGTAGTTTTTAGAGTATGGCCATAAAATTTTTCATACTCTTTAAGACAATAATTCCATGCGTGAAATAATTTTCAGGGAAAACTTTCCCTGTCAAAAAATAAAATAAAAATGGATATGCACAAAATTGTCAATGCTTTTTGATTTATAAGAGGAAAAAGAAATAGAAATCGTGAATGGCTTAGGGGAATGGATATGTTTGGAACATCAATCCAAAAGGGAATTATGCATCGTTTTACATTTTAATTGCTAAGACAATGCGAAAAAAAATGTTTAGGAAAGAATTTATAGGCCATGCTAGACAAGAGAAACATCTCTGGAGGACTGGTTGTTTCTTGTTTTGATTGTTCCTAATATACATGCTACGACTTTTTTTTTTTTTAATAATATGTATGTCTAAGCCTTATCTCAGATATAATTTCAAAACATTTAGAGTTGAACACAGGCATTTGTTATTTTAAAGGGAATCAACAATTTTTCTGATACAGAGCCAGGATTAGGGATCAACACAGTAGATGGAGTTGTTCAGTGGCAAAGATGATGTCTTATTCATCTGTGGTGCCCTGGGGTGCTTCGATGAGCATGTACATAGTTAGAACACAGTTCATGAACAAGAATGAACTGAGGCTAGAAAGGTAGTAGGCCAAATTGAAACATGACTTGAATGATAAGTGAAATACACACACACACAGACACACACACACACATGTTAATATTTAAAATGAGAATAACAAAAGGGAAAAAGGCAAATTGATGAAATAAAACTGGTGGAGTTGAAAATTATGGAATAGTAGTTAACTTTTTTCTTTTTATTGATTTCTATAAGAGCTTTTACTATCTTTCATTAAAAAAAAAACTTTATTTTTAAAGAGAAAGAATCTGCTGGTGGATAATCAACCAATATATTTACAACTGGAAGTGCAGAGACAGATTTATAAATAACTCACGTGTGGTGCACATGATCAACATTGAGAATGTGAATTAGGAGAACTGTAGCTTCGTTAACTATGTAAGAAGACCAAATTAAAAAATGAGTGTAAACTAAACACACGCTTACCATAGGTCCAGCAATTGCGCTCCTTGGTATTTACCCAAATGAATTGAAAACTTTTGTCCACACAAAATCCTGCACACAAATGTTTATAACAGCTTTATTCACAATTGTCAAAACTTGGAAGCAAGCAAGATGTCCTTCAGGAGATGACTGGATAAATTGTGGTACAATCCAACAATGAAATATTATTCAACACTAAAAAGAAATAAGCTATCAGGCCATGAAAAGACATGGAGAAAGCTTAAAAGCATATTACTAAGTGAAAGAAGCCAATCTGAGAAGAATACACACAGAGTGATTCCAACTATATGACATTCTGGAAAAGGCAAAACTATGAACACAGTAGAAAGATCAGTGTCTGCGAAGGATTAAGGGGAAGGAAGGGATGAATAGGCAGAGCACAGAGGATTTTTAGGGCAGTGAAACTACTCTGTGCGATACTGCAATAATGGATACATGCCATTATACGTTTATCAAATTTCATGGAATGTACAACACCAAGAGTGAGCTCTAACGTAAACTATGGACTTTGGACAATGATATGTCAATGTAGGTTCAGCGAATATAACAAATATATGACTGATGTGAGATATAGATAGTGGGGCTGTGCATGTGTGGGGGCAGGGAAGGTAGATGGGAACGCGCTGTACTTTTTGCTTAATTTTGCTGTGAAACTAAAACTGCTTTAAAATATAGTGTAATCAAAAAAAATTGAGGGTCAGTTTACCCGGGATTCTCAATGGAGGTCCCATAGTCTTTGAAGATCTTAGGGTTCAAAATGCATATTTAGTGGTCTGTCATTTTGACACGACAGTGTGATAGAGGAAAAAAGAAATCATGTAATTCTAATTCAATTAAATTATTTAATTTTCAGACAATAATGAAAAATATCACATCCTCACAGTTATTTTAGGGGAGAACAGAAAATTACAAAATTCAAGATCAATATTAATGATAGTGAACCCATGTTACAGAAAATTATTATAAATCTATGGTTTCATAATGTTCAAGTATCTAAACAATTAATTGAATTTTGGCAGGGGAAATGGGAAGGAAGGGAGACAATTTTTTTCAGTAAGGAAAAATTTTAAACCACATATTTTAATCATCATACACTGCTAGGGATTTCAATATTTTAATAGATTCATTGAGCTCTAAATGTCTTCAAGCACGTTATAAATCCTCCAGACTCCCTGCTTTGTAATACAGCCTGTTAACATATTCACTGCCTCTTTCCAAGGTAAGTTCACCATTGCTATTCCATGAGTCTGTCTTGTGATTTATTTCAAAGATTAAATGAGTATCTTCACTTTTCATTCATGACTATGTAATCTTGATTTTTTAATCAAAATTTGACGGCAATTATCATCTATTGAAATGCATTCTTTCCTCTTTCTACATATTTTTCCTTTTTACAGTAACTCCTACATCCTGAAACCATTGCTAAAAAACCATTTTGTAAGTAATTATATTTAGACAGATTCCCTTTTCTGAGCTCAGTTTCTTAACAGTCTCTTAATAATCAACACTGAGCGCTTTCAGACACGGAAAAGATTCTGTGCATACATGCTGGGGAAGTATTGGATTCACCAACCTCATTTCTGTTTTTCATCTTAGCTTTCCCCTAACCCTGAGAGTTTCATAGAATTTTACAGGGCAAATGTATACATAGCCCCACAGTACAAATAGGATACCAGCTATATGTGATGTGCTGCTGAAACAGAGGTCCATCACCCAGAGTGAGACACAAGCCATGTTTAGAAGATACGGCATTTACAAGAGTCTCCACAAATATTTAAACCATAAGCAACTATGGCAGGGAAGATTATCTGTGGCAAAAATACAAGTGAACAGTTCTGCCTCTGCAATTCTTAACTTCACCACAATAAAACAAAAACAAAACATATTTACCTACAGAACTGCTGTGATGATTAAGCCGGAAAGTGTAAGTGAACATTCAGTATTAGTCATAAAATGCCATATAAATATCAGATACCATAATAATAATTTTGCCATCTCAGAATTATAACAGAAATTTAAGCCAGTAAAGCACTTAGAAGAGGAAAACACTGGCTATATGCCTAAGACTTGAATGAAAATGTGAGCCATGTATGTTTATAAATCCTTTCATCCTAAATTCTTTATTATATATGAGTGTATGGTTTGGTACCATGAAGCATAAAAATAGTAAAGCCTGTTGAAAACTCCAAAACAAAAAGAAGAGCCAAGAAAAGAATATGAACAATTTAATCAGATAGGATTCAAGTTTATCCCCAGCTTATTTGCCTTTTATTCTTCATTTCAGTTAGTTACATTTCCATCGGTTATCACCAAGGTTGTGCATGCACCTTGAAATGTTCACAAAAGGTCCACGATACAAGGGTTCATAATTAGATTGTATGTAGTATTCAGAATCCCAGGGGAACTAATAGATTCGGGAAACATTGATTAAGCAACATGAAGAATTCTTATACAGTTTCAACTACAACAGTTTTAAAGACAAGTACAAGCTTCATTTGCCACAAAATTCACAAAAAAGTAATTGATTGAAGAATATCTCTTTTATGCAAAATATACATTTTATGATATAATTTGAGTAATATTCTACTATATACTGACATTGCTCCTTGACCATTTAATAAAAAAATACTCTCATTGCCAGAATCTTATTTTTCGTTAATATTTATAATTGAGGTAACAACGACAAAAGACTTAAACTATGAATAACGTTGGTGAGTCTTCTTTTTCGTCATAACGATTTTTTAGAACTAAACAAATATGTGACTAAAAATAGGTCAGTTTTGATAAATAGGCACTGAAAATTTCACAACATGATATGACAAGCTGATAACATAAGCAATTTATAAGAAAATGATACAGTCAATTTCATGGATTCAACCAACCAACAAGAAATAAGGGAAATTAAGACAGATCTATACTACACCAATATCACTGCCTTGTGTGATTCACAGCACAGTCTACTGCAGGCCCATGATGGGTAATTCACAGAGGTGTGGGCCTTACTTGAAGCTTCAGAGATGCTGATCATAAGTTTGGCTTCCTTTGATGTGAAGATGGCCAAAGCTGTTGACCCATGCATACAAGTTGGTATTTACAATTGTTTCACGGACACTGGCCAGTCCAAAAGCAGACCACTCATATGGGGAGCACCAAATGAGTCCCAGCCACAGTTCTTTTATAAGCTTTAAGTGCCTCATGGAGATGCAGGGACCTCTTCCAAGTGCAACCTGGCCACATCAGGGCACATTCAGCAGCAGCAGTCTGTTTCCAGTACAGTCCTTGGTATGGCTAAATCCCACTGACCCTTTGTCAGCAGTCAAAAATCCATGATAAATTCTGTACAACACTGCAGTCAATAACAGCAGCACCAGACAGTATGTTAATTTCTTTACCATAAAGCTGTGTGTATTTATAGCTTTCTATGTGTGGTGTTATCAAAAGGATCACTGAATCTCTAAATGTCAGATGTATGCATCTGGGTAAACACATTGCTGTACAAGATCTCTGACATGCAGGTCATGCCCTAGGACTTGGGGATACAGAGTAATACATGTTACATGGCTAATAAGAAAAGTGACAATTGTCTGTCTAACAAAAATAAACATGAGAATTAAGAATTAATCAACAATCTCAAGGATCCTGAATGCCTTAGAAATATTGTTTATCCCTCAATTTATATTATGGCATTTTTCTTCCCCAACATGTGCAATACACCAGGCACACTATTGCTTGTGCATTCATAGGCCCATGTAAACAGAATTTCTTCCACTTGGACTGAATAAGACTCCCTAGGGGATTCGCTGGAGTGCAGTGATGAGTGCTGGTTGCTAGGTAGTGGAAACTGACACTGCAGCAGGCAACCAAACACAACGGTGACACTGCTGCCTAAATCCTGCTCATCAAACAGGTTCACAGTACCGCTTAACATAGGTAGTCTACAGGACATCATTAATTTACACACAAAGCAGAGAGGCTGTTCCAAGTAGCAAAGAAGGCAGAGCGCGGGGGAGAAGACCCAGCACTAACATCATGAACGTCTGATCAAGGCATTTCTGTTCTTCACGGAGACAGATGGCATATACAGTTAAGACAGGGAGTTAAGACAGACAGACAGAACAACATCCAGGACAAAGCACCTGATTAAACACTGCCTGAAAAGTCTGATTAATCCCATGTGTCAGAATTTAAGGCTGGTCAAGAAAGCTTCCTGTGAACAACAGTGCTCTCTGATGTTTGCACAAAAATTAATAAGTAAAAATAAAAGAAAGGGATAAAAAAGACACAAGAGCTTTAGGTGATATTTGGCACTCTGCCTCGGACAATAATAACAAATCCTGGGATTAAAAAAAAAATAAAAACTCTAGTACCAAGCAGCAATTCCTGGCTAAACAATGCAAGCCTGGCTGGCAGGTACCTTTCAGGTTTTGTGCCTTCCACAAGCCATTAAGTGAAGAGCTCTGGCCTTGGCTTGCGTGTAACCAGTAATGACAACCTCTTTGCAGTTATCTGTATACAAACAACCAGAGACATTCAGAACTCCAACACAGCATTTTTGAAGAAAAGTAAATCAATCAAAAAAATTAAACTATTTAAAACAAATATCTCTTTCAAAGAATAAGGGAAAAAAATGTCGAGGAGAAACTCGCCCTCGGTGCCCCACAATTCAAGATGCAGAACAGTCTCGACCAGTGCTTTCACGTCAGCAGGATGGTTCGGCGCAAGTACACATATCCTGAGCCATCCATGGTCCCCGAACTCTGCTACATTGTTTCAGATGATAGAGACAAGATGCTCCATGCAAATGAGCTGAGCAGAGTCATGCTGAGTGCAACCAAGATAGGATCCCAGACATCTTCAGAATGATTTAGAGTCACAAGAAATGAAGGTCCAGTGAAGTGGCTGGCAGTTGGAAGCACACTGTTTTAAATATATCTCCCTGAAGATATGTTTATGTATTAGTGAACTGGTCAATATCTGATACTATCTGTCATTTTATTGCAAAAGGAGATCAGGGCAATTTACGGAGAAGTAGTAGCACTACTTTAGATAACCTTGAAAGCCAGGATAAGATTCGTTAGCTACCCAAAGTGGCATTTTTGACTTCAAATAGTAGTATCATGCAGGATTTATACTGTATTAATGGAACCTGGCGTAACTCTATATTTAATTATTTCCATTATGGGGTAAACAGTACTTGAATTAATACAATTTAGCCGACTGATGCAGTTTGGTTTACAAGATAGATGGAATGGGAGATCGAGAGCGCCTCAGAGGACAAGGAGAGTTGTAGGGTGATGTTACTGGAGAGAGCCTCAGAGCATTGCCTGCCAAGCCCGCTATGTTGTTTAAGCTTCGGGATTTTTCATATCCTTTTATGAAAAAATGCACAGACATCAGTTGAATTCAACCAGAAAATAGACAAAGACAAACAATACCATGCGGGGTAATCAAAAGTGCTATTTTTGAGCTCAAAGAAGAATTTGTTTACAAAGAATTCAATATTGAGATAATTTATAACTCTTGAAAAACAAAATGAAGCTCCCTATAGCTATCATTCCCAAAAGATTAAACAGGCCATCACAAATTACAGTTGCAATACTTCAAAATCTATTCTTTCCCAGATTATAGTTTGTATTGATGTAATTTTGGCATATACAGTACTTGAAATCTTTTAAGAATTAGGCAAAGTAACTTAAGTACGATATAAACTTGGCTAATATTTTTAAATTTCAGTAAATGTTCCTGGGAAAAAAAATGAGCTATTTTTTTCTCTCTTCATTTTTTATTATTTACTAAGCTAATAAAGCACGCTTAACTTTAGGTGGACAACTCTTCCAGCACATTTAATCTTCCAGGTTTATAGGAGTAAAAGGATGATTCTTAAATAATGGCATTTGATACCATTATCTAGGTGATGTGGAATGAATGCCCATTTCTAATTCCTTGGATAAAAAAAAAAAAGAAAATGGATGAAATATAAATTAAATCATAATTTCAGTGAATTAAAATCTGAACTTGATTATATGATGTTTTCAGCTGACTTCCCTCTGCCAGGAATTGAGAACAATTTGATCTTAATTTGCCTTTTCCTTCTGACACCTTGCATTCTAATCTTTTGTTCATGATAGTCATGAACTTACAGAATAAAAGATCCTTCTCACAAACTTTAACCCAATGGTTTGCCTTAGCTACTCAAGCAATAGCCCATCAGGTTCACCTCTGGAAAGATTCACATATTGTAGTATTTTAAGAAAATATCAGAGGCAGTTAAATGAGGTGGGAGCCCATGGTGTAAAGTTAGACGTGAACAGTCTTAAAAGCAGGGCAACTATTGACTGAAACAGCAGTCATATTATACAGCTTACAAAACACATGTTCTGACAGCTCCAGTGAAAAAGTGTTGTACAGCAGGAAAATGAAATTCTCTGTCGGGCAGCCAACGCTGAGCAAATAGGTTCAATTCCAGCGAACTTCTTGTCCCCCTGGGACTTAGGGCACACTCCTTGGGCCCTGATTAGCCCTCGGTGTGCTTGATGACCGTTCCAGAGTAAACGGGACTTGCGTGTTTGCTCATGTTCCCCCAGCTACTTCTTTCTTTAATTTTATATTTGCATAGACCTTCTGGGGAAGAAGCCAATGCTACCTCTCCTTCTCTCACTGGAAGAGGAGAAGTGATTTAGTGATTATTTGATTTTTGAGTGCCCAGGACACATGTGGACGTGGATTGCAATAATAGCTCTACTACAAAGTAAGGCTGGACTAACAGGAGCCCCCTCCCCATATACACACATATAACCTTCCAGTAGACTAGATGTCTTCTTCGAGAATTTGCAGAGGGATATTTATGCCATCCATTAACTATGGTCAAGTTCCCTAGGACATAATTTCTGCTTATGAGAGAAGTATCTGCCAATATGTTTTGTTAGTATTCTGAGCTATAAAACATGGGAGGTGGTGTATATTTCATTCTACTTTGGTGGAGGAATAGTTAATGGGAAGATGTCAAATAATTAAAAAAGACTTGCAGATCATTAATCCTTACATTGGGATCTTCACATGCCTGGAGGGCTGGTAATTACTGCTCTTCTGTATTGCGATTGGAAATATAACTTTGGGAATTGTAGAAAAAATAATTTATCCAAGTTGACTGTGTAACCTAAAAATGTAAACTAGACTATAAACATTGATTGGTTTTGATTAAAAGCAAACTGGTGAATATGCATGAACCAAAGAGGTTGTTAATACCTATAAATCATGCTTATAAAAATTTACATCTTTTCCCCCACAATCTCCAAGCTTTCTACAGGACCTCCAAAAAGGTAAAGATATGTTTGACAGTTTTATATTAATCATGTTAGTTATAGGTAAATCTTGATTGCCATTCTAAATGTTCAGTTATTTTTGTGAATTATACTTTTTAACATAAATATTATCCATTCTTTATAGGTCCTTTCATTTTTAATAACTATAATTTCAGTGTCCATTTGAAAAGATGTCCCTTCTAATTTAGTAACGTATTTAATTAGCAAAATTAGAAGTTATTCATAGAAATATATTTTTCTTCATTCTGCAGGTTCATTTCTGAGTAGAAAATATGAGGGGCCGGCCCCGTGGCTTAGCGGTTAAGTGTGTGCGCTCCGCTACTGGTGGCCCAGGTTTGGATCCCCGGCGCGCACCGACACACCGCTTCTCCGGCCATGCTGAGGCCGCGTCCCACATACAGCAACTAGAACGACGTGCAACTATGACATACAACTATCTACTGGGGCTTTGGGGGAAAAAAAAAGGAGGAGGATTGGCAATAGATGTTAGCTCAGAGCCGGTCTTCCTCAGCAAAAAGAGGAGGATTAGCATGGATGTTAGCTCAGGGCTGATCTTCCTCACAAAAGAAAAAAAAAATTTGATAAAATTTGCCTAATCAAAATTTTACTGAACAGAATGGCTGAAAATATAATTCATGAGAATAAACAACATTCTTATTTGTTTGAATTAACATCTAAATACATCGTGTGCATTTTACACAGTTTTTAAGAGCATACACTTATTTGGGGCAATATTGAAACTGGCTATCCATGTATTATCAATGGAAATGTTTTTGTTTATGTAATATGATTTCCTAAAAACTATTGCATAAATAAAAACACGAGTGCTAAGTATTGGGAGTTCAATCTTTTAGGGGATCTATAAATTTTCTTAATGTATGCCCATCTATATGCATATTTGTTAGTAGAAAAAGAATTCAATGGGAATCCAGACATTTCTTTTCATCTAAATAGAGGAGAATTTTCATAACTCAAATCAAATCAGTAGAGAGACCTTTGCAAGGTAAAAGAAGGGATCAGATGGGAAATAAATGTCTGGGTAGGAGTAATAGAGACATCTATAATCTACACAAAAGGAAACAGGAGACGAAATGAATGAATTTCTGATAGACATGACAAGATAACACACCAAGAAGATTAAGGGAAGTTAGCCAGAAATGTTGCCAGACCTAGGAGAAAAAACACAAAGCTGCAAAAGAATTAAGCAAGAATGAAAAAGAAGTTGATTATGGTGAGAAATGACAAAGAACAAAAAGCTATTGGTGAAGTTTCAAAGACATTCTCATTGATAAAGAGAATTTGTATTTGTGAAATAAAATTGCATGTATAACTTTTCCATACAAACTAAATATCCTATTAATTGCTTTGCTCATGAAACTTTGCTATTTTACAGGAAAACTCTATATTAACATAGTGTTTTATAACTTGTAAAGTCTTTACCATGTGTGTCTCCTTTGACAGTTTAAAATTCAAAATATTGTCTAACATGGAAGAAAAAAATTCTAGCTAAGTTATTAAACATATAACCTTAGTATAAATATTGCATGTGATACTTTATTGAATGATGCTCAAAATATATGTAAATTTAACCACATATTACATATAAATACATATATATACATATATACACATATATAAATGTATATACATATATAGTGAGTTAAGATATACAATGCACCTAAAACATTATGTTCTATATAAGATATTATTATCATTACTTAATATATGTACATATATTTTGCTCAAGTACTATGATAGGATATTAACTATCTTCATAAAATATTTAAAATTGTTCTAACACATAATATTTAAATTAGGAAACAGTCAAATAAACCTATTCAGATAATTGAAATACATTTTGATGCAAGCAACAGATGCAGAGAATGGAAGTAATTGGAATGAAGTATTTAAAATATCACATACTGAAGAAATAAGAGTCCTTTGCCATCCCTTTTGAGACTCAAAAGCAGCGAGACAGAAAGGACAATATAAAGTGTTCAGATGGAAGGAAAGAGAAGTACAACATGCATAATGAGGTATTTCAAAGAAAGAGGGAATCACAAAATGAATATTTTAGGCTTAACATGGTAAAGTATTCAATAGGGAGAAACTGCAATGAATAGCAAATAAGCACAATATTTTTAAAACATAGTTGAACTAATATGAAAGTTTTGGAGTGGCTTTTCATTCAAATTCAGTCAACTGCATAAGAAATTATTAGAGTTCTTCCTCTATTCTGTCAATAAACAGAGAAAAATAGCCATAGCAATAAATTGGAATTATCAAAGCAGGAGGGAATCAAAGAGCCGAGCAACACTTTGACCAGGGTTGGTTATAAGTGTCTCCGATTTCTTAAGGAGGAGGAAAAAGGTCTAATTGTCCTGATATCTGTAAAGTTTACTCAAGAAGATCAAAAGCAGAAACAATAAACAGTAACTAAGGAATAGTCACAGACGGTGGCACAACCTAGGAAAACAGGACCAGGTGCTGGAGTGGAGCTTCAGTGTTCTGTTATATTCCTTAACCAAGAGGCCTGCTCAATAAAATTTATTCATTCCACAAATATTTCTGAGTATCTTCCATGTGCCAGGCACTGTTCAGTGTGGGTTAAAAAACAGTAATAAACTTAAAAATTACTATTATTGCCTGGAAGGGAAATTCTGTAAGTACATTTTGTAAGTGGAAATTCTGTAAGTACATTTTGTAAGTACATAAGTAACCTTTCAAGTGATTGTATATATTGTTCTTTACAGTGGAGGATCTTGGACCTTTGTAACCTTCTGACATTCAGATAAACCACTGGGAAAAATTGCCGAAATACTGGGTAAGAGACTTAAATAGAGTATGTTCACTGCTTTACTTTGAAAAAGCCTTATTATTGTTTTATAATCATCAATTACTTATCAAATATATCATAGAGCCAATTAGTGAGCTTTATTCATTGTAAGAAAAAAGATAACTTTTAAAGACAGCTGAGTACATTATATTATTTTTTTTTTAATTTTTTGTTTATTGCAGTAACATTGGTTTATAACATTGTATAAATTTCAGATGTACATCATTATACTCCTATTTCTGCATGGATTACATCATGTTCTCATGTTTACCACCCAAATTCTAATTACAATCCATCACCACACACATGTGCCTAATTATCCCTTTTGCCCTCCTCCCTCCCGCCTTCCCCTCTGGTAACTACCAATCCAATCTCTGTCTCTATGTGTTTGTTTGTTGTTGTTATTATCTACTACTTGAAATAATTAGATGAGCGACAATTTTTAAATACTCCATTACAATTCTGCCTGTAGACAAATGGGAAACCAAAAAAATAAAAAAGGAAAGAAGGGTGAAATGCCTTTCAGACAATCAAGTAGGCTGTTATGATATGTATTTTTAAATGTTTATAATGAGAGAAGATGTGATGAGGAGAGGAGAGCAGCCCTATGTGCAGTCTTTCCTAGAAAATGATGAAAGTATTTTACATCACTCCATATATTTGCAGCACTTAATTTATGCTAAGCCATCTGTTAGGATCTGATTAAATGCGTGCCTACCTTTCCTGATCCCTCCATCAGAAGCACACGTGTAATCACCTGTCGCCAGTAGGAAACATGTTTCCCCTCTTCTGTTTTTGTCTCTGGTACTAGAGCGTCTGATGGGGAGCCTTTCTGGGGGTGATAATGGCGGCTCACTTCCTGTACTGTCGTCACCTGATAACACTGGTCACAGCACCATGCCCATTGACAGACAGTGATGGATGAGGAAATGAGACAGTACAGAGAGTTTACACCGAATGTCCATAGTACAGTCACTCCATATACAAAACACAATAATCACATCATGATAAGAAGATTTTCATCACTTGTTACAAAAATTTACATGGAGCAAAATGGAAATGTATTAAAAAGGAGAGAACTGTTCTTTAGGAAATTTTAATTCCATTTTGGATTCTATCTAATAGGAAATTGACATTCAAAACACTAACATGAATTCAAATTAAGTGTGATAATGAAGTAGCACACAAATTAATATCTTACAATTTTTGACATGCTATCTAGTTGCTGTGAATAGGAATCCTTAAAAGCGGAGCCTATTTAAGGAGAAATTCCTAAGTAAACATCTGTTGTTGCAGTTCTTTAAGAGACATGCTTGTATTATTTTCTGAAAGTAATTTTTCCCAAATTAATAAAATAAATTTTATTAATAAAATAAAGTTTATTAATTAAAAATAAAGTTTATGAATTAATAAAATAATACCAAAGCTCACAAACTTTGTGTCCATGTTCTCCATTTTGAAGTGACAAAATATTTTTGAGCATAAAAAAGATCAACTTCTCCAAATGCCCTTGAAACAGCTATTTACTTCTATAACCTTGCCAAAGACTTCCACATCCTATCCACCTCAATACTCGCTTGTTTTCACAGTGTTTCCCCAGGCTGAGAGCGTGTCCTCTTTTTCCGTGCCCTTCATAAGGGTTCTGCACAGGCACTCTGAGAACAGTCTGATGAGGCCAGCAACACGAACTAAACACCAACTAACCTCTCATAGAGACGTTCTTGGCATAACAGGGTCCAGATATACATTGACAGAATTTGCAGAACAACCTACTAAATGAACATAAGGATTGTGAATAAAATCTTTAAAAGGTAGTTCAGGTTCAGCCACATTTTTTTCCATTTACTCCATAAAAACTTATGGAATTTAAGGAGGAAACCTATGAAAACGCAGCCTGCCTTTTGTCTTTGTTTGCTTGTTTTGTTTACTTGGTGTTATTTCTAAATTATGCAAAATTATTCACATGGGATTATCGTCATTTTTCTATAAGAAAAAGATTAAATATATCTAAATTACAGGGAATGCATACATCCTAAATTTTCATAGTGGGCTAAAAGCTAATTAAATTGTTTAATCTACAAAATATTTCATCTGTACCAGAAATAATAGAGGTGACACTACTGACTATCACTTTGGCCAACTGAATATCAATTTACAGTCAATCTACTCTGGATTAGCTATGGCAATGAAGAGGAGCAGGGATTCAGCTAATCTCTGGGAGGGAAGAGAGCCCAATGCATAGTGCACAAAAAGGAAATCTATAGAGAAATTCAACTTTGCCATTGATTAGCCAAAGCAGATCATCTATCTCCAGAATGATAATGAGTTGATTATATTACACAGCACCTTGCCCAATCCAAAGGAATTATGTTGAATACCCTACCTAATTTAAGACTAGTGAAAAATTAATTAATCCTCCAGATATTACTAGGGAAGACTTTTGTTATCAAAAAGGCTATCTTCCATATCACCTCTTTGGTGTTTAGGCCTTTGAAATGTAAACATCCATTCTTCTTAATTAACTGCTTCTTGAGAATTAGGTTGAGATGCATGGCCCCATGTGGCAAAGATAAAACTGAGACAAACACACCAAGCCAAATGATATGAAGATCAACATTTTGAGGATGAAGAATGAAAAATGCCCAATATCATACCATCACATCATGCAGGGAAACAAAGAAACATTGGCACAAAAGCAACAAACAGGCAAAAGAAAACATTGGCACTATCAGCAAAGGGCATTCCCACTAAAGCAGGAAAACTCTATAGACCAGCTATGCAGACTTATACTTGGAATTCATTTAGAAAAGCTACAGTCTAGCTATCTACAAGCCTGACACAAAGACACGTTTTGTGAGGGGGTAGAACTGAAAACTCATGAACTTTTGCAGAAAACGAGAAGGGTTGCCTTATACCTAAGGGACATACTGGTCTATAAAGTATTTAATGGCATGCATTTGAAATTGTGCCTTACCTGATCTGTTATGTTCCAGAAGCCGATTGTCTTTGCCCAGACACATGTCACCCTGTGTGCTATTGCAGGCCATGTTTACTTCTGTCTTGCAAAAAGTAGGTGAGCTTGCCTGAGGGGCAGGAGGGATGTGCTTCTTTCGTTTTCTTGGAAGTTTCTGCTTCGCCATTGCCAAGGAGTAGTACATTCCAAAATTGTTGACAATGACAGGCACCGGCATAGCTATTGTCAACACTCCAGCCAGAGCACACAGGGCTCCCACGAGCATCCCTGACCATGTCTGGGGGTACATGTCACCATAGCCTAGGGTGGTCATGGTCACCACTGCCCACCAGAACCCAATAGGAATGTTTTTGAATTGTGTGTGCTCACTAGCTGAAGGGTCATTAGGTTGAGCTCCTACCCTCTCGGCATAGTAGATCATAGTAGCAAATATCAAAACTCCCAGAGCCAGGAAGATTATCAGCAGCAAAAATTCATTAGTACTAGCTCGAAGAGTGTGTCCAAGCACCCTCAGACCTACAAAATGGCGGGTGAGCTTGAAGATTCTCAGGATCCTCACAAACCTTACCACCCTGAGGAAGCCAAGTACGTCTTTAGCAGCTTTGGATGAGAGCCCGCTGAGTCCCACCTCTAAGTAGAAGGGTAGGATGGCCACAAAGTCAATGATATTCAAGAGATTTTTGATGAATTCAAGTTTATTGGGGGAAAAAACAATACGGACTAAAAATTCAAAAGTAAACCACACCACACACACTCCTTCTACATATGTCAAGGCAGGATCTGTTTCGATTTCGTACTGTAGAACGACACTTGTGCCATTGATGACTGGTTCTGTCTTGTTTTTAACAATATTGAAAGCTTCATGTGTCTCCAGGCAAAAGGTTGTGATTGAAACCAGGATGAAGAATAAGGAAGCAAAAGCAATAAACTGTAGGAAAAAAACAAAAAAACAAAAAAAACAGAGATAGAGTGATCTGAACCATAGTATACTTTGATCCAAATCTACGAGCATCGGTCCCTGTAGATGGAAAAGAATAAAAGCATATTTAGAGATTTCACTTGGGATGTTACTCAAGTGAAAGAAGTGATGTGTAGGTAACATTAATTAGAGTTGCACGTGTAATGTTTTCATCTTACATAGACAAAAAATTTTGCTTTATGTTGGAAAATAATTTCTTGACTCTTTTGTGTAAGAAAATACACCTGTGAAGAGAGCACAAAAATCACTCCAAAAGAATGTTAAAGGGCAAAAGATTGAAAAAAATAATAAATTTAGACAACGGCTGCAGATATTATTTATAATCCTAGAAATCGTCATGTATTAGATCAAGTGTTACACCCATAAATATAAGGTGCAGTCCACACTGGATGGAAATTTGGAAGCCACCTAAATTTGACTGTAGGTTTCCATTTATAAATAAAATGTTCAGGTTGTCATGAGGTATGAATACAAAAAAAAATCTCTGAGACATGTTACCATTTAAATTGTATCAACTTAAAGTGGTGACTTGTCCAAAAGAGTAAATCTAAAGAGATAGAGAGGCAACAAGACTGAAGAGAGAGAAACAGTTACGGAAAAAATTAAATGACAATTTTCTTCCTCTCCTGAAAAAGAACTCCAAATGTTAGAGTAACATCTTATAAAGTTGTAGGGGTTTTTTATTCAGCTCTATTTCATTTCTTCAGTCAACAATATACAAATACACACACCTACTAATACAGAATAATAATAAAAGCTCTCAATTATATAGTTCTTACTAGCACCAAACACTCTTAAAAGCAATTTGCATAATTAACTCATAGTGATCTTCATAACTTCACTACCACTAACCCATTTTACAGTTCCAGAATATTAGGCACAGAGAGTTTAAGTCACTTTTCCAAAGTCATAGATTCAAAGTGATAGACCTGAGACACTAACCGGACAAGTTTAGCGACAGATTCTGTTCCCTTAACTACCAGAGTCTCAAATGTAGAGTACAAATATGTTGAAAACATTTATCTTAGGATCACGTACTTCTTAATATTGAACATCTGAAAACTTGAAACCCAGTTGTTTGAGTGAATGGCACTGTTGCAGTCACTGCTAGAAGCTTTCAAAGAAGCTGGCAGATTTCTAGTGCCCTTTGATAATGCCCTCGGATTTAGCACGATTAATGAGCACCAATAGACTGTTCTTTGAATGTCTAAACAAACGGACGTTCAGGAGCACAAGGTCATCAGTCAAGTGGAGGGAGGCCCTTATTCGGAAATAATAGGATATATCCAAAACTTAAAGCTGTCCCCTACTATCTACTCCTCAACCATGCCATTGAGAAGATCCAGGTTTCAAGAAGAGATTGAAACCACCTCCTTTTTCACCTGGTTGAGTGTCAAGTGACCAATATATAAGGGATATACAAGAGGATTAAAAAAATCTTAGAACTGTGATCATCTGCCTTAAAGAACCACCATAAATTATGGAACTGTTTCTATGTAGTGTGCCAGTTAGTACATGATTCATATAGAATGATAAGGCATGTCATTTTCCTGGCTTTGACTGACTTGCCCATGCACAGCTTCCAACTCCCTTTGGTTTTGGTATCACGAATTGTCCATTAGCTTACCCAGACATGTTGTAAGACACTAGACTGTTTTTTCACTCAGCTTTCCCTTTGTACAAAGAAGCATACAGTTCTTTTTAATAAAATCAACTAGTTGTTGTAACACAGTATCACTAAGACCCTATAGACTCTAACAGACAACATCTTTTGGAGGAAGAATCAATTATCTTTGATTCATACATTACTTAATCTAATCATATCTACAGATGATTTATCTTTATCTATAGATTTGGGAGACATGTTTGTTTCTGATTGCCCCTGAAATCTTCCCTTGTCATTAGAGGCCTCCCAGTGTGTGCCTATTGACTCCCCTCAGTCACTCCCCACACTCTCCACCATCCCACCTAGTCTCCAAAATTTCAGGCTAAGTGTCAAGAGTTTTAGTGCACAAATCCTATCTACAAGGCAGTTAGAGAACATAAGGCAGTTAAACTGCAATTTTATTTTATGTTTCTAGTATTCTTCAGTCAACATTTTTTCAGCTACCTTTGCAGTCTTGAACTCTCCACCTACATTCATGTAGTGAATTGAGTGGGACTTCCCAACATTGCTCTTTCAAAATCAGCCCTAGCTTGCCTGCCCACCTCCATATAACAAAGACAGTTTTCTAGTATACTTTGATGCTTGTTAATATAAAACATTGGGACCTTTTCCAATCGGACATTTTCCAACCGTTCATTCATTCATTCAACAAATATGTGTTACTTGCCTTTCTATGCCAGGCCACAGAGCCAGGGTCTTAATTTAACAGCAGTTAACAAGACACAACTCCTGCCTTTGAGGAAGGAATCCACACTCTACTAGGGATACAGACATTAATTAATTAACTGCACAAAAATTACATAATTAAAATTGTGATAAATTCAATGAAAGAAAAAAGATGCTTTGAAAGGATCAAAAAAGTGATTTATTTAGACTGATGGGTCATATAGAAACCTCTGACAAAATATCAACCGACTGAAGTTTGAGGTACGAGTGGAGTTTAACCTTATGGAAAGGGGAAGCTTGTGTATCACACAGCAGGATACCATACCAAAAATGTCTGGACTTTTTCAATCTCACTCACTCGAGAGATGCCTTGACTATAACACCGCAGGAACAGCAGGTTTCCCAAATCTTTTGCACAAATTGTGATGAATAAATCCCAATCTAGCACAGAGACTCTGACTTTTTAAAGGTTAACCTCTTTCTCTGAGGAACTTTAAATTAACCAAAAATATTACCTGGGCTGTAAAATGAGGCCGTAACGTGACTTGAGAGCAGTTTGATTGCCGGTAGTGCTCCTCTGGACCTGTTTACCAGTGGGGAGACCTTGATTTCACTTGCTTAAATTATTGTACCAGCCCCATTGTTTGAGAAGAAGTGAAAATGAAAGATATATATTAAAGTGTTTTTAATTTAAAGCACCATGCAAATATTAGAAATCATTATTATATTCATTTAGTATACTTCTTTAAAATATAATTATTACCTCAATAGGAACTCCAGAACCTGATGTTTATGTTCATTAAGAGAGTTATCATGTTGTCAGAAAAAGGTCAACAGAGTCCTAAGAGACCAACTTAGTGGTTGGAATTCAAGTAACGTGAATCATGTTGTACTCGGAAATCACTTAAATTACCCACTTATATTCCTAGAAAAGGAGTGTGGTCTACAGCTCACATCCATTAGACTATGCTTGGGGAGCGTACACAAATGGGAATTCCTTGCCCTGCATCAGACACAGACTCTTTCCTGTGGGGAGAGGAATCTGCATTTAACAAGCTTCCCAGGCGGTTGCTACGCACACTAAAGTGTGAAAACCACTGCTAGTGCTTTTATCAACACACTGATGATACAAGAGTGACAATTCAATATGAAATAAATTGGAGCAGTTCAAGCACTTGTAGATTCTTAAAAGAATCTTCTTCAACATTAATAAGAAAAATTCACTGCCTCCTAAGTAATGGGATATTTGTGCCTTTATGTGTGTCTATGTGTGTCTGTGTCCATCTGTTGTGACATAATTGTGGTTTCTTCACAAATACCTGTGAGCAAACCAAGCAACTGAACAGCCTCTAAATATACACAATTGTAAGACACAAAACTCTGGAAACCAAAAGCTGTGTGTTTTTTTGTTTTTTTAAAGATTTTATTTATTTATTTTTTCCCCCCAAAGCCCCAGTAGATAGTTGTATGTCATAGCTGCACATCCTTCTAAGTTCTGTATGTGGGACGTGGTCTCAGCATGGCTGGAGAAGCGGTGCGTCGGTGCACGCCCGGGATCCGAACCCGGGCCGCCAGCAGCAGAGCGCGTGCACTTAACCACTAAGCCACGGGGCCGGCCCTGTCTGTGTGTTTTAATAAGTCATTTGGAACTAGCATTTATCAATATTTTTATTAGCATTATTTAAAGAAGCACATCACAATTTTGTATTTGTATTATTCTTCATTGTAATTTGTATAGCTTAGTATATCTTTAGCTTTTAAGTACTTTGTAAATCTGCTAGAGTGTGATAATAATATAAGATAAAAAAATGTAAAGAGTATAAAAAAAGGAAACAAACTTTGCATCCTGGAGACAACATTCGTCTCAGAAGTAGGTAATTATTTTGCTTAAAAAAAAAAAAAAAGCCCAGCTAAACAGGCCATTTTTTATTTGTAAAGGCTAAGGACACTAGGTAGGGTCTAGAATGAGAGGGTCATAACAGAAAATCAACGTCTGCTTCATAAAAACACGGTAGGCAATTGGAAGTTGGCCTCTGTCAGCTTGAGAGTGAGGAAGTTGGAAGGAAGTTGAATTCTGAAGAGAAGGAAATGGGAAAGGTTTCTAAGGAGAAGGAGCAAAGGCCCATAATGTGAGGACAAGCAAGTGAGAAATCCCTGCAGAGGTGCAGCAGCAGAACTTTGGGATACCAATGGAGAATACGAAATGTTAAGATAATGCTTGCTCTGTTATGCCTTCAGCAAAAGGCTGTTGTACAGAACAGCTTGGTGTTGACTGTGCTTTGAGCAGTGAGGTACTGGGCCATGGGAAGACAAGGGGGGACTAGTCAACCATGGGGGGCAAGATACACAGGGAGTTTCAAAAACTTAGGAGACTAACGCATACGAGTAAAGGGAATCAGGAGAAATTTAGCCCCCATGGAAGTCCTTGGAGATATTGAGAGAGACTGAGCTTCCCATGGAATGAAGAAGAGGAGCTCAGTTTATCAGGAACTTAGTTTGAGTATCAAATGAAAGCGTGACCTCAGGAGGCTTGAAGACCTGGAATTATCCAGAGGCAACAGCTGGATTGCATTAACAAGGAATCTGTACTTCTGAACTTAATTCTAAGAGGAAAGTA